TGTTCACAATAATAGCCGTGTGGAGTTCTATTCGATTTTTTACAGATTTATCAGATATGTTTTATAGCAAAATTATCGGTCTTTTGTTTATAGCGCAAAAAAAATAAAAAATAAATAAATTGCAGAGGTGATCACATACCACCGAAAGAAAGCTCTATTTGTGGGGGAGGGGACACATTTCATTTGTGTACATTGTTGCATGACCGAGCAATTGTCTGTTAAAGTAGTGCAGTGCTGTATAGCAAAAAATGGCCTGGTCAGGTGGGGGGTGGGGATCCTCTGCAGGACAAGTGGTTAACAGTAACATCCCCCCCCCCCCCCCCAAAAAAAAAGTCAAAATACTTCCTTTAAAAAGACATTTTATTCAGCGATGTCACAAGCTGTTCACATGTCAAATACACAAATGGATGTTCCAGGCTGTATTTTACATCTGCTGAAAGGGGAGCCCCCCCCCCCCCCCGACATTCAATGTTTTCTGAAAGTAAATCATCAGCATTTCTCTAGTTGATCCTCAAAGGCCAGATCTTGTTTTTTCCAAAAAAAGTGCCCCCTGACCTGGACGGAGATCAGGAACGGAGGCAGCACGCAGCACTGCGGACAGTCGTAGTCAGGGAGCTGCTTGACGGGACCTAGATGGAGACAGAAATTGGATGAGAATTAGAAGACAGTTGCTGGAAATCGCTGGCATTCATTAACAACATTTAACAAGTAACATTTTTTTCTTTGGATGAAGTGTGGATGTACTTTGATAGCTCGCCATGTCCCCATCGGGAAGGATGACCCCCTCTGTTGTCACCTTGCACTACACATGCTCAGTTGCTCGCTGTTTTCAGACACTGCGCTGAATATGTAAAGGCCGATGTGCTGACAGCCTGAAGATTTACTGCTGCTCATGGAGCTCTGGGCTTCAGCAAAATGGCCGCCTCCAGCAAGGAGAAACAGGAGTGATGCTGAAGGCAATTTACACTGCACACTTATTTTGGTAGCATGATTATTAATGTAATATCTGTAGGGGGTCCAAAAGCTGCCCTGTGGAGGATGAGGGTCCAAAGGCTGCCCTGTGGAGGATGAGGGTCCAAAGGCTGCCCTGTGTAGGATGGGTGGTGAAAGCTGCTCTGTGGGGATGAGGGTCCAAAGGCTGCCCTGTGGAGGATGGGTGGTGAAAGCTGCTCTGTGGGGATGAGGGTCCAAAGGCCTGCCCTGTGTAGGATGGGTGGAAAAAACTGCCCTGTGGGGGATGAGGGTCCAAAGGCTGCTCTGTGGGGGATGAGGGCCCAAAGGCTGCTCTATGGAGGATGGGTGGTGAAAGCTGCCCTGTGGGGGACGAGGGCCCAAAGGCTGCTCTATGGAGGATGGGTGGGTGAAAGCTGCCCTGTGGGGGATGGGTGGTGAAAGCTGCCCTGTGGGGGATGGGTGGAGTGAAAGCTGCCCTGTGGGGGATGGGTGGTGAAAGCTGCCCTGTGGAAGTTTCACAATCAGGAATCCATAAAGAGTATTACAGACAAATTCACCTTTTTAAACAAGCAGCTTTTGTTTTGTAGAACAGACATTGAATTAGTAAAATCCATCTGCATTGGGGTTTAGTGGGCAGAAATGATAATTGGATTTCCGGGGACTAAAAATTCCTTCTATGAATCTGTACTTCCCTGCGGTCTGTCGGCACTATCAATGGATGAAGGGAATGTCCTCTCTGGTGCCACAGATTTTACTTGTGATAAACAATTTTTAAAGTTGTAACAATAACGGATTAGCGATTTTCTTCATTTGCCAGTCCTGGAATTCTGATTAAAAAGCCCAGTGAAGGGGATTCCGACAGCAGCCCCGTGTAGGGGCGGGGAACCAACGCCCGTGTAGGGGGCCGGTACCAACGCCCCGTGTAGGGGGCCCGGAACCAACGCCCCGTGTAGGGGGCCGGACCAACGCCCTGCGTGTAGGGGGCCGGACAACGCCCAGTGTAGGGGGCCGGACCCTCAACGCCCAGTGTAGGGGGTACCGGACCAACGCCCAGTGTAGGGGCCGGACCAACGCCCCAGTGTAGGGGGCCGGACCAACGCCCAGTGTAGGGGGAGCCGGACCAACGCCCGGCTCACGATCAATGGATGAAGGTGAATGTCCTTTCTGGCCTCATAGAGAAATCTTATTCCCATTATTATGGACGATTCCGAGGGTGAATCATTATCCAATACTCCGAATTTGGGCTTTTAGCCAGTTTTATCTATCCATTTACAAAGCCTGAAGACTTCACCTCACACAGGACAAAACCACCCTGTAAAAGGGGAGCGATCGGACGACCTGTCCTGCATGGGGCCCACCTGTCCTGCATGGGGCCTCCGAATAGACACTGGGATAACTGTAGGCAGCTTTTCTCAACCATTTAAACCAACAAGAAATTTTACATTTTAGGGAACCCCTAAAATACATTTCAGTCTGCAGCTCCCAGCCCTTAAATCAGCAATCAGCGAGAGTTCGGGATTAGAATAAATAAAATTCATCTTTTTAACGTGAAGCTTTTGTTTTTCTACACACCAACATTTCATGGCAAAAGCATCTGCATTGGGGTTTGGTGGCAAAAAATGACAGATTTGCAGAAGGTAAAAATCCTTCTATGTATCCTGTACTGTCCTGCCTGGTGGGGGGGTCCGATAAGCTGCCCTGGAGGGGCAAATTCACAAATTTAAATTAAAAGCTTTGAAAATGAGAATTTCAAGCCGACTTGTTTGCCAATCACAGCTGCTCCAGATTCTGTCTGGTTCACTTTCTGATGAACGCCCACCTGAAGTTCCGGGGTCCGGAGTGAGCAACACACAGACCACCTTACAGAGTATGACCATAATCACCCCTCGTCACAAGTCAATCGCCCCCCCCAAAGCCTGAACCCCAACATTACAGATAAACCCTAACATACATAACCACAAAGTCTATAAGGACAGACACGCCCCACCCCCACCATATACCCCTTGGTATAGACAGACATTGCCCCCGGCACAAAGCCCTCAGTAAAGATAGATGCCTCCCACCCCAAACCCTCAGTATAGACAGACAGATCCCTCAGTATAGACGGACGGCGCCCTCAGCACAGATCCCTCAGTATAGACAGACACATGCCTCAGTATAGACGGACAGCGCCCCTCAGCACAGTGTCAAACGCTTTTACAAAATCCAAGTATACCACATCCACCGCCACCCCTCCGTCCAAGTACGCCACAGCCGCCCCCCGTCTCCAAGTACGCCACAGCCGCCCCCCCCCGTCCAAGTACGCCCACAGCCGCCCCCACGTCCAAGTACGCCACAGCCGCCCCCCCGTCCAAGTACGCCACAGCCGCCCCTCCGTCCAAGTACGCCACAGCCGCCCCTCCGTCCAAGTATACCACAGCCGCCCCTCCGTCCAAGTATACCACAGCCACAGCCCCCCTCCGTCCAAGTACACCACAGCCGCCCCCTCCGTCCAAGTATACCACAGCCGCCCCTCCGTCCAAGTATACCACAGCCGCCCCTCCGTCCAAATACGCCACAGTCGCCCCTCCGTCCAAGTATTCCACAGCCTCAGTATAGATGGACGGCGCCCTCAGCACGGATCCCTCAGTATAGATGGACGGCGCTCTCAGCACAGATCCCTCAGTATGGGACCAGAGGTGAGCAAATGTGGCCCTCCAGCTGTTGTAGTAGAACTCCCATGAGGCATTGCAAAACTGACATCTACAAGCATGAGTCCCAAAGGAGGAGGCATGTTGGGACTTGTAGTTCACCAAAAGCTGGAGGGCCACAGTTGCACACCCCTGATATAGACGGACGGCGCCCTCAGCACAGAGCCCTCAGTATAGACGGACGGTCCCCGCCGAGCACAAACCCCCAGTCAGTATAGACGTACAGTCCCCGCCCAGCACAAACCCCCAGTCAGTATAGACGTACAGTCCACGGTACCACTTGAAGCTGCCGAAGTAAATGTACGTAAGGAAGTCTTCCAGCGGTCAGTAACACTTTAACCTCCCAAACTAAACCAACGTTCGGATGAATCATCTTCGGGATGAAAGTCACAACTACAGGAAATGCTTTACATTATAAACGACCCCCCATGTGCAGCTCCAGCAGGACACGTGTCATAGATGTACTTTCAGCCGACGTCCCTCAATGTTTTCAGCACCGATGGCCTGCCGAGAGAAAGAAAAATCCTTCAGCATTTCACACATTTGTGGTCATACAGACACATCACACAACAAGGCTATGTCTCCTCATTAGTACACGGGGGGGGGGGCGGCAGAGACATCAGTGACACGTCTTTCTTGCCTTTACATAAGACGCTCAGCCCAAGCAGGACGCCTTGCGATTATCTAGAGAGTTTATTTAACCCTTTCACTGCCAAAGCCGCTTGTGTTGCCGCCACAAAGGCTTAAAATACATAAATAAATCTCATTTTAGGCCTGAAGATGACATAAAATCCCCAAACATTAGAAACGTTTTCTGAAAGCCGACAGCCCAGAGAATCAACTAGTGGTAGTTTCCAATTTTTTTGTGACAACAAACGTCTGGGAAACGCAAAAATTCTGTAAAAAAATACGCTCAAGTTAATTTTGGGGCACCCAAATGTAATCAATGACCTCATTTTTTGGTAGAATCTATAAGACGAGGTTTCCCCGAGAAAAAAGATCCCCAACATGTCAAACCTTAAATTTGCGCATGCGCCCGTGAAATGGCGACAACTTTCAGTACCCGATAGTTTACTCAGGGGACACTGTAAAAGCCCCCACAGGTCATCAGTGGGGTGTCACGGAGGAGGTCTGGTGCTACAAATCTGTGCGACGTGCAACAGGGGGGTCTCAAAAAAAAAAAATTTTATTTTTTTTTTTTTTAAAAAAGGGTGGGGGTGGGATATTTTGTGTGTTTGTGTGCAACTAATTTTTTTACTATTAAAAACTTTTTTTTTTTTTACATCACATAGGGGACATAAAGTCCCCATGTGATGATTTTTTTAGGTAAAACAGATGATGGTTAATGAGACACACTCGGGGTGTAATATAGACCCGGCATGAATCCCCTGAATGTAATGCAGTGCGGATCGCATTGCATTCCATTATTTCCTGGTCATGCTGGTTGGGGACACAGAGGCTGACCTGACAGTGACATCATACACATGGCTTTCTGGGGGTGTCTGGTCTTGCTGTGCACTCCTGACATTCCTCCTCACATTGACTGTTTCTACCATCCCAGCTACCACCTTCCTACCCAGACAGATCCTCTCCTCACCCCGCAACCCCGCCTGCAGTGACCAACACCAGACTTCTGTGGAATTCTAATGAAGAAGCCCAGGGAAGGAGGCCTGACAAACTTCCCTATAGGGGGTGCCGGACAAACGCCTTGTAGGGGATGCCAGACGAACAACCTGTAGGGGGTACCAGACAACGCGCTGTAGCGGGTGTCGGACAAGCGCAATGTAGGGGGTGCCGGACAAGCGCAATGTAGGGGGTGCCGGACAAGCGCAATGTAGGGGGTGCCGGACAAGCGCAATGTAGGGGTGCCGGACAAGCGCAATGTAGGGGGTGCCGGACAAGCGCAATGTAGGGGGTTGCCGGACAAGCGCAATGTAGGGGGTGCCGGACAGCAACCTGTAGGGGGTGCCGGACAGCAAACCTGTAAGGGGTGCTGGACAGCAACCTGTAGAGGGTTGCCGGACAGCAACCTGTAGAGCAGCGGTTCTCAACCTGGGGGTCGCGACCACCTTTGGGGGTCGAACGACCCATTTCCCAGGGGTCGCCTAAGACCATCGGAAAACACATATTTCCGATGGGTCTTAGGAACCGAGACACCGCTGCAGTCGTCTCCCGGCGATGTGAGGGCGGGATGATACGCTGCTGTCACCTGGCCACACCTCCGGGATCGCTCAGCAGCTCCGCCTCCTCGGCCGCTGATTGGCCCCACCGGAACTGTAGCTCAGGAGAGGCACAACAGGCGGCCAAATCACCGGCGAGGAGGTGGAGCTTGGAGAGGAGGAGCCGAGCGGCAAAAAAACCTAGCGCGCGGGGTACACCCAAAGAAGACCGAGGGAGCTGCCGGAGCGAGTGAAGAGGAGAGCGGCTCCAGAGAAGAAGACAGCTGACAGGTAAGTGAGAGAGCAAGTCCCAGGCTGGACAGGGGTCAGCAAAGTAAATATCATTGGTGTCAGTGGGAGGAATAGTGCCCCATCATTTGTGTCACTAATACCAGACGATGGGGCACTATTCCTCCCCCCACTGACACAACGATGAGGGGCACTATTCCTCCCCCACTGGACACCAACGATGGGGCACTATTCCTCCCCCCCACTGACACCAACGATGGGGCACTATTCCTCCGCCCCACTGACACCAACGATGGGGCACTATTCCCTGCCCCCCACTGACACCAACGAAGTTGTGGCACTATTCCTCCCCCCACTGACACCAACGATGGGCACTATTCCTCCCCCCTCTGACACCAACGATGTGGCACTATTCCTCCCCCCACTGACCACCAACGATGGGCACTATTCCTCCCCCACTAGACACCAACGATGGGGCACTATTCCTCTCCCACTGACAACCAACGATGGGGCAGTATTCCTCCCCCCACTGACACCAACGATGTGGCACTATTTCCTCCCCCACTGACACCAACTGATGGGGCACTATTCCTCCCCCCCTGACACCAACGATGGGGAGCACTATTCCTCCCCCCACTGACACCAACGATGGGGCACTATTCCTCCCCCCACTGACACCAACGATGGGCAGACTATTTCCCCCCCCCCCTGACCCCAATGATGGGGCACTATTCTCTCCTCCACCACACTTGACATCAATGATGGGGCACTATTCCCTCCCAACTGACAACCGATGATGGGGCACTAGATTCCTCCCACTGAACACCAATGATGGTGGCTACTATTCCTCCCACTGACACCAGTGATGGGGGATACTTACTCCCACTGACACCAGTGAGATGGGGTCGCCCACTACTCCCACTGACACCAGTGATTGGGGGCACTACTCCACTGACACCAGATGATGGGGCACTACTTCCCCCCACTGACACACAGTGATGGGGCACCTATTCCTCCCACTGACACCAATGATTGGGGCAATACTCCCCCCACTGCGAACACCAATGATGGGGGCACTACTATACCCCCCACTGAATACCGAATGATGGAGGCACTATACCTCCCACTGACACCCAATGATGTGGCACTATTCCTCCCACTGACACCAAGTGATGAGGGCACTACTCCTCCCAACAGACACCAAAGTATGGGGTCAGCTACACTCCCCCACACGACACCAGTGATGGAGCACTACTACTTCCCCCACTGACACCAAATGATGGGGCACTACTCCCCCCACTGACACCATGATGGGGCACCTACTCCTCCCACTGACACCAAATTTATGGGGCACTATCTCCTCCCAACTGAGACACCAAAGATTGGGGCACTACTCCTCCCACTGTCACCAATGATGTGGCACTATTCCTCCACTGACACCAATGATGTGGCACTATTCCTCCCACTGACACCAGTGATGGAGCACTACTCCTCCCACTGACACCAGTGATGGGGCACTACTCCCCCCACTGACACCAGTGATGGAGCACTACTCCCCCCCATACTGACACTCAGAACCAGTGATGGACAGCACTACTCCCCCCACTGACACGCAATGATGGGGCACTACTCCCCCCACTGACACCAATGATGGGGCCACTACTACTCCCACTGACACCAATGATGGGGCACTATTCCTCCCACTGACACCAATGATGGGGCACTATTCTCCCACTGACTCCAACGATGGGGGCACTATTCTCCCACTGGACACCAACGATGGGGCACTACTCCTCCCACTAGACACCAACGTGATGGAGCACTACTCCCCCCACTGGACACCAATGATGGGGCACCTACTCCCCCCACTGACACCAATGATGGGGGGCACTAACTCCTCCCACTGACACCAATGATGGGCACTATTCCTCCACTGACACCAAGTGATGGGGCACTATTCCCTATCCTCCCACTGACTCCAACGATGGGGCACTATTCCTCCACTGACACCAACGATGGGGCACTACTCCTCCCACTAGATACCCACGATGGGGGACACTATTCCTCCCACTGACACCAACGATGGGGCACTATTCCTCCCACTGAGACACCAAAATGATGGGGCACTATTCCTCCCACTGACTCTTAACCAACGTATGGGGCACTATTCCTCCACTGACACCAACGATGGGGCAACTCTACTCCTCCCCCACTGACACACCAGTGATGGAGCACTACTCCCCCCCACTGACACCGCAATGATCAGGGCACTACTCCCCCCACTGACACCAATGATGGGGCACTACTCCATCCCACTGACACCCAATGATGGGGCACTATTCCTCTCCACTGACACCAATGATGGGGCACTATATTCCTCCCACTGACTCCAACGATGGGGGGGGGGCACTATTCCTCCCACTGACACCAACGATGGGGCACTACTCCTCCCACTGATACCAACGATGGTTGGCACTATTCCTCCCACTGACACCAACGATGGGCACTATTCCTCCCCACTGACACCAACGATGGGGCACTATTCCTCCCACTCGACACCAACGATGGGGACTACTCTATTCCCTCCCACTGACACCAACGATGGGGCACTATTACCTCCCACTGACACCAACGATGGGGCACTATTCCTCTCCACTGACACCAACGATGGGGCACTATTCCTCCCCTTGAAAACCCAGTGATGGGGCACTATTCCTCCCACTGTCACCAGTGATGGGTGCACTATTCATCCCAAACTTGACATCAGTGATGGGGCACTATTCCTCCCACTGATACCAACGATGGGCACTATTCATCCCACTGACACCAACGATGGGGCACTATCTCCAGCCCACTGACACCAAACGATGGGGCACTAATTCCTCCCACTGACACCAACGATGGGGCAACTATTCCTCCCACTGACACCAACGATGGGGCACTATTCTCCTCCCACTGAAACCAGTGAGATGGTGGCACCTATTTCCTCCCACTGACAACCCATGTGATGGGGCACTATTCATCCCACTGACATCAGTGATGGGGCATCTATTTCCTCCCATCTGATACCAACGATGGGGCACTATTCATCCCACT